TTGGTCCCTTCTGTACAATAATCAAAGACCCCCCCCCCAGGAGTACAGCCGCATAACACCGCATGAGGCGCTTTCCAAGGCTTCCTCCATCCTATTGCTAGTACCACTGATCCCATTTTACAGGCAAGGAAGCTGAGGGCACCAAATGGCAAAGTGGCTGAACTAAGGTTTGCATTCAAGTCTGTGTGCCCCCCTATCCCCAAGCCAATGTGGTACCTGCTCTGCTGGATCAGATCAAGTGACTCTGGTGTCGCTCGGTGAAAAAACGCAAGCACTGTGGGTGAAGGCAAGGTGTTCTAGCTCAAGGCAGACATTGCTAATCCAAGGGCAGGGACAAACCTGTGGCCCAGCAGGGAGCGTCTACTTTAGCTGAAAAGAGAGAATGCCTTATTTGGAGACTCTTGAGGGCAGGTAGAATGATTTCAGGGGGGTTGTTGCAGTTTCAGAAAACTCTAGGGTAAGGGGTATCTAATGTGCAAACAGCCTGTCCCGACCACTCCAGAGGTCTTGGGAAGTCTCTCTCTCACCCCTCTCTGGTCTATCTTCTCTCCCAACCCTGGATCCCCAAGGTCTTTGCACTAGAAGAGTCAAGGAGCCGGTGTGTATGGTAGAGACGGCTGTGAGGGCATTTAGAGCCTGGGGGAGAGGCAGTAACTTGGGGGACATTCTGTCTGGGTCTTGACTTTGTTGCCTTGTGCTCTTTTGTAAGGGGGGGGTGTGTTCCCTACCTGGATGCTTTGTACATATTTGTTACACTTTTATTAAAAAATTGATTGTGCACCTCTTAATGAAGGCCTTTGTGTGTTTTCTCTGGGATGGTGGGTCCTCAGAGACCAGCAGATAACCATGGCAACTGTGCAGACAGACCGTGAGGCTGCACGCTCATCCTCCAGTTTTGTGTGTATTCATGTGTGCTTGCATATGAAGGTCAGAGGTCATCCACAGAAGCTGGCCTTGATTTTTTTGTTTTTAAAGACAGGATCTCTGTGTCGTTCTGGCTAGCCTGGAACTCAATGAGTAGACCAGGTACTCAGAGGGGGGTCCTCCTGCCTCTGCTCCAGAGTGCTGGGATTAAAGGTATGCAATACTACGCCTAGTATCACCTTGTCTTTTGAAACTGGGTCTCTTCATTGGACCCATGGCTCCCTGGGGCAGCAAACAAACCCTTAGGGGTACATTGTTGCCTTATGTTACTAATTTGGACTTAGATTTCTGCCTCTGTCTGGCTCCCTGACAAGGTCTATATTTCTTAAAATTATTTTGGTTTTTGAGAAAGAGTTTACTCTAAAGCCCAGGATTGCCTCGATCCCTCAAATCCCCCCCTCAGACTGATTACAGTTGTGAACCAAGACACCTAGCACGAATCGGCAGCTCTCTCTTCTACCTATGAGTACTGGACGTGGGACCCAGAGCCCTGGGCACACTCAGCTAGCACTCTCCCACCGAGACACATGCTCACCCTCCTGGGCAGAATCTAAGCTGATCACAGAACAGGGCTTCAGCCGGGTGAACCCTTTCTGGTCACTATCGACTCCACACCCGATCCTCAGCTGGGTGTGGCACCTAGACACCAGTGAGATGTGGGGCCTCCTGGGTGCACAGACTAAAGCGCCCTGAAGACTCCCGTCAATCAGAGTCAAGGACCCCTTGGTGTGTTTTTGTGAGTACAAAGGTTTTTGTGAGGTAGTTTCAGACACAACCTGACCTCGGGCCTCCCATGGGATGCTGCTGGAGGCAATCTCCCACGGAAGTCACTCTGCTCTTCTGTGCCTGTGTGCATATGTGTCTGTATGGAGGTCAGAGGTCAACACTCAGGGTCTGCATCTGTTGCTCTCTACCACAGATTTATTTTTGGAAGCGGAATCTGTGTCTGAGTTCAGAGCTAGGCTGGGGGCCCCAGGAAGCTGCCTGTCTTCCCTATCCCACAGACAAGCTGTCTTGCTCAGCTGTTTACACGGATACATGGACTCTCAGGATCCGGACAAGGGCCTCGTGCCTGGGTGACCAGCACTCTACCTACTGAGGTGCCTCTGCAGCCAACACTTTGGCTTCCTTCTTGGCTTCTTAAGGGAGAAGCATCTGATGCCTCTCCATAGGCTACGCATGCCACTTCTCCACAGCCTCAACACAGGTCTACCTGGCTTCAGGAGGCACAGTGACCCACAGATACAAGTTACATCCACAGGGGAGGTTTATTGGCAGAAGGTTCTCAAAAAACACCAAAGACATGTCCCAAAGCAAAAGCACAAAAGACGCTCAGCCAGCGGCCCATGTCCTCTTCAGCAGGAGGATGTTCCTAAGGCTCCGTACCTGTGTCACTCCTTTTGGAAGGTGCTGGACTTGTTAGGCTTTCTTCTTCCCACACGTTTCTTGAAGCTTTCTGTTTTAAATGATCTGTTTGTGTCCCTGGAGCTGGAGTTGTGAGCCCCTTGGCGTGAGTGCTGGGAATCGTACCTGGGTCCTCTCTCTTAAGAACACAAGGCAAACACTCTTAACTTTTGTCCTCTCACCAGCCTCCCCTACCTTACTATTCTCAGGTTCTCACACACAAGACTCTGAGGACTCGGTGGGATTTGAGTCTGTGACGATCCTGGCGCTCCACTGTCCTGCTCACTGCGAAGGACTGCCATGTCACTGCAGAAGTGTGCATGTTCTCCAGGAGATACTTTCCCACAGCCTGCTGCCTGGGAAACTGCCTGAGCCCTCTAACCTGAAGACCCCTGCTGATAGGGTGTCCCCTGGAAGGATGGGAACTGGAGAGCATCTCACTGTCCCAGGGGATGCTCCCCATGTGGCACTCCTTGTATGGCAGGGGTATGGTTTATTTTTACATGATGTTAGAGAAGTAATGGGGGGGCAGCTAAACCCTTGGTGCACTTGCCAGTAACCCACATTGTTAGTTTACCTGTTTCTCCCTTTTAAAATGGAGTCTCAGGGAGCCCAGGCTGTCCTGGAACTTGCTATGTGGCCACGGAATGATCCTGCCCTTCTGATCCTCCTGCCTCTCCCACGCAGTGCTGGCAATGCAGGTGCGCACTGCCATGCCTGTTTATGTTGTGCCGGCCATGACTCAGGGCTTCCTGCAGGCTAGGCAAGCACTCTACCGACTGAGCACATCTTCAGTCCTGATGTTAGTTTTCTTGGTCCCAGCGAGTAACATGCCAGGTTTTGTAGCCCCACAGTGGGGATACGGGGTATAGGGACATCACAAAGTTTGGAATCAGGTTTCCAAGCCCGACTCCCAATGGCTGCCTCTGATTCAGCCCACACTACACTTCTGTGCGCCTCCTGCAGCTCCAACCCCTCCACAATCCTGACAGCATCTCAGGCAAAGTGATCTCTTTGAAAACAAACAAACAAACAAACAAAAACAGTTGCAGGCGGTCCTGCTGCTCTCCTGGGTAACCCCTCAAACCACAGAGAACAGACAGGCCTATCCTCCGTTCCCTCTTAGGACATCCAGGCAGTGGGATTGCTTAACATCATGGCCATTGCCATAGCAACAGAGCTTGAAAGATGCCCTGGTCCCCTGGAAAGGGTGTGCTACTGGTACTAGGAAAGTGTCAGGGAGACCAAGCAGAGGAAAAAGTCCCGGCAGGGGTGCCCCAGGCCAAGGGTCCTGAATCTACAGAGGGGAGGGGACAGCACCGAGGCTCCCATCTCCCCTGACCCTGCCAACCTCCCCCCCCCAGTATGTATGCTAATCTGCCCACCAGCCTTGCAGTTTTCTCAGACGTGGCTTGGGTCAGCCTGTTGTGCGGATGAAGACTGTGAGAGAACCGAGTTGGAAGCCAGTGGAGACAGGCAGAATTCCAGAAGCTTCTGTGCGGTCACCTGTGTTATTTCATCCCAGGTTTCCAATCAGAGTCTCCCAGGAGAGGAGCAGCTGTGTCCTAGAGACCGAAGGATGTGAAGTGCACCTGCGAGCGGCTCCCAGTGTCCCCCGCGGTCCCGCTCAGGCGTTTAGTTAAAGATATAAAGCAGTCTTTTCAGAGACTCTGGGAGGACTGTTGTTTCGCTGAGCTAATTACCTCACCAGAGAGAGGGAGGGGAAAACGGATCACTCCACAGCCGTGTGCTGCTTATGACATGGATTGAAGTCTCCCAGGGGGAGGCAGCCCTGTCCACCAGAGCTCAGCACAGGCCTGAGCTGTCAGTGAGGGACAATGCAGAAGAGAAGAAGGACACAGAATGACAGAAGGCAGGTGGCATGCACTTCTGGACCTGAGCTGACCCTTCTGAGACTGACTGTCCCAGGCAGAGCCCAGGAAGAAAGGAATCACAAAGGTCCGGTCTTTCCATGGTTCCTGTCCTTTGACCTCGCTGCCTGCATGCTCAGAGCAGTCTGTCTCTGACGTGTTGTATGCCCAGGCCACGGACGCTCAGTCAGTGAGGGGCACTTGCAGCAACAGCACCAGGCAGCACTGGAGATACATCGGCCCCTTACTAGCTGGGCAGGCACACCAAGCTTCTCACCTGCTAAGGGTGTGAGGGGTGTGAGAGGGAGTCCCCACATCCCAGGGCTGATGTGGAGATGCCAGCAGGCAGCATGAGCAGGATGCTGGGTGCATCCTGCTGTTTTTAAGGTCAGCTAGGTGGGTGAAGCCTGGTGTTCACATGTAGGACACTCTCCCAGCAGCTCTGGTGAGAAGACCTGGGTCAGACTGTACTCTCTGAGCTCATACCAGTTTGTAGCATTGAGTAGCAGTAGCTGGAAGCAGGTTAAATAGGGGGAGGTTGCGTATGGGTAACTCCCCCACTTAGAGGGGGCCGATCACCTACCTGTGGGGAAGCCAAGTCTGAGTGAGGAGGGTTCCCCTTTCTGGTGGGGTAGGATGCACACACTGTACCAGGGAGGTGAGGAATGTGTTCGTGTGGAGACCCTGGGGTCTGCCAGGAAGGCAGGAGAAAGTCCTGGATGCTGTTTCCCAGGCATCCTCGGGGCTGGGCTCAGCAGTGCTGGCCCTCCCTGTCTGTCTCCCCAGACACTTGTGTTTAGCTTAGTACACCTGCAAGTGTGCAGACGTGGCCCCATCCTTCCAGCAACGCAGGGTATCCACGGCAACCGAGCGGCAGAGCGGGCAGGTGCGCTCCCTGTCCAGCCACAGGCAGAGGCACTCCTCACAGAACACGTGCTGTGGGGACAGCAGAGGGAAAGAGTGTGACCCGGGAGCCTGGCGACAGCAGCCAACTAGCCAGGTCATCCATGCACGCCCTCCAGGAGGGGAGACAACAGACCCATCAGCTCTAAAATAGAAATGTTGGTAGCTGGTGTCCTGGATGGAAGGCAGAGGTGGGGCCTGGGGAGACAATCCTGAGACAGTGACACCTTTGTGGGAGAGTGGAGTGAGCTGCCGGGCACACCTGGCAGAAGACGGCATGTGCAAAGGTCCTGAGGCCAGGATGTATGGCTGAGTCCGAGGGGTAAGAGGATGCTGAGACAGACAGACAGATACACAGACAGAAGGCCTTCCTTAACAAACCTAGCTCAAATTGCCTTTATGGTTTGTTACACACACGAACCAACTTATACTAATGCAGACTTAATAGTCTTTTTTAAAAACTTATGCCTGCATGTATATTTGTTGGGTTCCCCAGACCTGGAGTTACAGGGACTGTGAGCTGCCACTGTCCAGCCCTGAGGCGCTCTATCGCTGTGTCTGAGAAATTAATGTGGGTCAGCACACAGACTCGCAGGGCTCCAGTGTGAGGAAGGCCCTGCATCTGCCTCCTCGGCAGAGAGCAGAGTCAAATGAAGGAATTCAGGAAACCCCGCGTGCCCAGAGCCCTGGCTGAGGCGCTGAGGAGCCCTGGCCTGCCTCTGCCCGCCTCTGCGGAGGGAGGAGGCGCATGAAGGATGAATGGAGAACTTCCCCTGAGGGGCTCAGAGAGCAGGGGCTGCCAGCACTGGAGGGTTCTCCTCTCCAGGCTGTGACTCAGTGATTGTGGGGTTGGGAGAGGAGCCCTGGGGCCTGTGTCGGAGTCGCATCAGAACCTCCACATTACACTCAGAGCAAGCAGCACAGGGGTGGACAGGCCACAGACACAGGCCTGCATGGCAGAAGAGCCTGTGGAGGGGGAAGGCGTTTCTAGTCTCAGGACATCTGTGTGAGCCTGGAGCAGGCACGCAGACACGGGTGGGACTAACAGGACACAGACAGGAGCCGTCCTGCAATCCCTTCACTGTGATGAACTCTGCCCATGTGATCACATCCCAGCAAAGAGACTCAGAGAGGGGAAGACACAGGGCCAAGGATGCACAGCAGCTAGGCAGTGGGAGTCAGGAGTGTGGCCGGCAGCTATGTATCACGGCCTGTGTCACCATTTCCTCCTTGTGGCCCATGGTGCATTGCTGATAACAAGGACAATACAGGAATGGAAGTCACCTCTGGAGGAGATTACAAAAACTCTTGGCTTTCACCTTGCTTATACTGTCTGAGGTCCTCATGGGCTTGCTCGAACAACACCAGCTGGGCCAGGAAGCCAGAGCTATTTGTGGCCACAACGGCCACCAAGGACCTTCAGTCCTACAGGCCACAAGGATCTGAATCCCACTCACAGCCATACCCTAAAGCTTGGAAGAAGCCATCCCTCAGGAGCTAGGAGACCCTGAGTTACCTCAAAGAAGAGGCCATAGCGAATCAGGCTGGGACCCATGGCGCATGAGAACTATGGAGCCACAGGTGTTTCTAGCGCTGCTACTATGCTTTGGGACAACTTGTTCCACAGCAGCGGTAGCTGATACACAGTGCCTGTGTCTAGAGCAAACCCCCCCATCCATTCTGTGACATTGTGTACGTGTGCACACTGGGAGGGCCTGAGACGTGAGGTCAGAAACAACCGAGTCTGTTAAAAACGTTGCCAGAGATCACACACACACACACACACACACACACACACACACACACACACACACAGAGCTATTCCCTTACCCTGAGGAGGCTCTGAGTACAGGCTTTGTTGGACACATCTCCGCATGTTGGCAAGAATTCTAGGAGAGGTGCCCTAACTCCCCAGCACAGCCCTTCAGTGACTTCAGGCAAGAGGCCAAGGCTTAGTGGAAAGGGCAGAGCCAACAGCACTGGAGGCCCTGGGTGTGAATTCTGGTTCTGTATCTTGGGTGAGCATGTCTTTGCCTTTCTGAGCCCAATTCTGCTCTGTTAACAAGCAGGGCTCCTCTCTCCCCATGGGTAGTCTTAAGATAGAGAAAGATATAGCCTCTATGCATTTTAAGCCCAAACTAATGAGTGTCTTGTGTGATGTTCACCCCTCAGCCAGGCTCACAGTGGTCCAAAACCAGGAATGTGCTTGGTTCTCTGACAACTAACTCTCTGCTCTTTGGCAAAGGAAACCTTTCAAGAAGTATGATTTCAGGCTGAGCATCCCTCATTTCTGAGTTCCTGTATCTTGGTGGGTGGCATACCATGACCACGTGTGGGGAGACTACCGGGACCAGAGCTGCAGCCTCTGAGGATACTCACTGTCAGATGACCCTCCATCTGCAATCTGTTCTCAGGTACTACCTCAAGGGGAACACTGAGGGCAGAGGAAGTGATGTGCTGATGTTTGCCTGGTAACTCTTCGAAGGTGAGACTGGAGAGTTATCTATCCGTCATCCATCTATCCATCCATCCATCCATCCATCCATTCACCCATCTATCTACCCATCCATCCACCCACCTATCCATCCACTCATCCATCCATCCCTCATCCATCCACTCATCCATCCACTCACTGTGCCCAGACTATGTCTCTACTGCTAAACAAGAGAGTTGTAGCCTCCATTCTCAAGGTGCTTGCCGTTTGGGCAAGGGGAGAGAGATCTTACATTACTCCATAAGTAATCATGGAAGCAACTGGAAAGGTCTTTGTGGTGAAAACTCACAGTGTATAAGACCATGGTAAGACTATAGTGTATAACAACACACTATGTAAGACCACAGTAGCCAGAATCACAGCTCGTCTGGGGGAGGCAGAAAAGGGGAAGCCATTCTTCAGTGACATTTGAGCTCACTCATTCATTCAATGACATAAGGCCCTTTCACCTGGAGAGGTCGCCTCTGCCCTTGCAGACCCAGCACACACCAGGAGAGCAAGGTGGGCATGTGAGTGCAGTCGGCCAATGCTTGTGTATCTTCAGCCGCTGTATGTGGCTGTCAGTCCTAGCTCTAGGACAATGGTGTCTTGTCTGCCCGCTCCCCAGAGTTCCTCCTCCACCTTTTGGGAAGACGTGGTACAAGAATGGAAGAGACGGGCAGATTGAAGCCCAGAGAGACTGCCAGGAGAACGAATTCCACCTCGCCATCATGTTCAGATCATCCCCGTCACGGAGAAGGAAATACAGATGGCTCCAAAGCACACGCGGAGCTGCCCAGCCACGCTCATAATTAGGGAGATGCAAATGAAAGCGGAGCTCGACAGCACTGTCACCTGTCAGTCTGGCAAAGCCAATGGCTTCGGTAATGCTGCGTGCAAGTGAGGGAAGGAACAAGCGGCTGAGGCACGCTCTGTATGGAGACCAGGCAGGCAGTCTCTCCAAAGTGGGCAATTTAGCGAGACCCAGCAAAACGAGGGCCCCCTCATCCAGGAATTCTACTAACTAGGAATTCATGCTGCCAAGAGCCCGCCACCAAGACAGAGCGTCTGCTGGGAACAGCTACCATGTGCCGAGCCCCATCCCAGCCCCATCACGTGGGCTTCTGGGGCTCTACCTGAGTGAACTCATTTAATCAACACCGTGGGCTCAGGCAGGCACGATCAATCTATTTCAGTCACCTTCGTGACAGCCATTTTCCAAGTAACAAGAGATGGTAAGAGGCTGTGCCTCTCAGGAAATAGCCACACAAATGGCGGTCTATGCTCTGACAGTCATGTCTGTGGCTGTAAGGCAGAAGAAGGGGTGATCTCTGAGTGCCAGCCACAGGTTACAGGCGCTGAGTGACATTCAGCTGAGGGAGACTGTGCTGCAAGTTCAGTTTGCTTTAAAAGATGTTTGTGGGTGTATATGTTTGTATACGTGCACACAGACACACATGCACACTAAATACATGCTATGTTTAGTGTGATTTTGAATTCTATATAAAATGTCTTTGGCAAGAGGTAAAGAAAGCTAGCAACTGTGTTGCTTCTGTGGTTGGTACAGGACAGAGACCCGGTGACGAGGGCAAGCAACCTGTCACTAGCCTTTGCATGCAAGTATGTAAACATGTATGTATGTACATATGCATGCGTGCGTGTAAGCATGTATGTATGTATGTGTGTATGCATGCATGTATTATTTCCTGTGTGTGCATGCACCATGGTGCATGTCTGGAGGTTGGAGGAGAATGTATGGGAGATGGTTCTCTCCTACCACGAGGTTCTAGGGACTGAATGCAGGCCATCAGGCTACACAGCCAACGCCCCAACCACCGAGGCCTCAGTAGCTCCCAACCTTGTATATCTTGCAAACAATCTTTTTCCTTAAAAGGCCTTTTGTTCTGGAATAAGTTCAGAGTTATGGAAAAGCTCAATGATGGAAACATGTCCCTCACCCAGCCTCAGTTTCCCCTCCAATTACTGCATGCCTGAGAAGGGGATTTGTCAAAGCCAAGAGACCCAAGTTGACATGTTACTACAGAAGGACTCTAGGCTTGATTTAAATTTCATCAAAACAGCAGTTTTATCTTCCTCCTTGGCCTGGAATCCAAACCCAGTTGCACATTCTAGTTAGCTGTCATTTCTCCTTTCTGAGTTTTGACTCAGGCACACAAACTGCCATTTTGTTTGCTTGTTTGGACAGGGGCTTGTCATGGAGCCCAGGCTGGCCTTGAACTTTGTGGAGGGAGATCTTTCTGTCTCAAGTGCTGGCCTTCAAAGTGTACACCACCACCCCTGGCCACACTGTCAGTTTCAAAGCAGATCACAGTAAGGGGATGGGGTGCAGCTCAGGTAGTAGCTTGTTTGCTCAGCACACTTGAGGCCCTGGCCACAGCACTGTACACCTGTAACTGTAATCCCAGTGCTTGAGGGGCAGGGGCAGGGGCAGGGGCAGGGGCAGGGGCAGGGGCAGGGGCAGGGGCAGGGGCAGACGAATCAGGCTCAGCCATTCTCAGCCACATAGTGAGTTTGAGACTGTCTGGGCTACATAAGACCCAGTCTCAAAAAAAAAAAAAAAAAAAAGACAGACAGAGCATTAAAAATTCAATTAAAACCAAACTTCTTCAAAGTCTCTCTCTCTCAAACAGCAATAACAAATTTTTCTTGCTAATGTTAAAAGAGGACCCCACCTCCTATCCCATCTTCCAAGGGTGTTAGGGAGGCCATCTGCCTTTCTTCTCATTCCTTCTGGAAGCCAGACTTATGCAGAAAGCCTCCCGTACTGGAGCACTGCGCTCTCTGCCCTGGTCCCCGGGGACTCCACATGACTCTCTCCTCCACAGCTCTTGTCACTGTCTGCCTTGTTTCATAGTTAGTTAGGAATATGTGTCTGAATCCCTAAGGAGACCACGAGCTTCCCAAGGAGGGGACCAGCTCTGTGTGTCCTCCGCCTCTCTGAACTCTGCCCTCACCCAGCTCACATTTACTGAGTTGACACCTGGCCCCTGGGGTCAGGAAGAGGGGAAGGGGCACATTAGGGAGTCAAAGCACTTACCGCTGTGGCTTGGGGAGCCCTGATAATAATGAAAACAAAGGGTGATGATAAGTTTACTGAAAATAATAAAGGCGGCGCTGGCAAGTGCTGTGGTGAGCCACACAGGGTCAGCTCTGCAGGGCGACGGTACAGGCAGCTGACAGGGTCAGCTCTGAATGATGAAGGTCCAGGCAGAACTACGCTCCTGTGACTGTAGTCAGACACATAGGCAGTACACGGCATTGTGATCATTCTATATCTGTCATGGGGAGATGGAGTGGCACCCTCACATTGCATCTGGGATCAAGAACATCCTCGAAGCCCGGTGTGGTGGTACACACCTGTGATCTCACTACAGGGAGATGGAGGCAGGAGGATCCCGAGTTCCAGGATTCCTGGGCTACACAGCGAGAAAACAGTAAAACCATCGACAGTTGCTAGGGCCGGTGTTCAGTGGTACAATGCACAGTCAGCACGAGCAGGCCCTGAGTTACGTCTACAGCATGGACATGTTTAAACAATGTGTTTCAGACCCTGGGCCAGAGGTTGAGGTGCATATTTTATAGACCAGAGTAGATCTGGTCTCTAGGTTGTCCCAGCATACCCCGCCCTGTATGCTGAACTCTCTGGCCCAGGCTTCCTCTCCCTGAGAAGTTCTTCAGTACATAACCTAGACATTGTGATCACCGCCCCCCATACCTGCCTCTCTCTCTCTCTTCTCCTTTCCCTCTGTCTCACTTTCCATGGCGACTTAACTGCCCTTCCTCCTGGGTCATCGACAATAGGTGCCCCCAATAAACCTGCCAGTATACTTTCCTTTGGCCTGAATTGTCTCATTCCACCAGCGGGGAATGGACCCATCAGAATGGACGTGGCTGGGACACGCACTTGGGACAAGTGACAGGATGACAAGTTCTATATTTACCAACAACACTGAGGCTCAGAACCTGCTATTCGGCCAGAAAAACAAAGGGCAGAGATTTGAACCATGGTCTAGCTGCCTCTGGTCTTAACCAGGTTGCCCCTAAAGACCACACTGGAGCCCTGAGATGTGCTCACAGGACCGGCTTTTCCTGGAGTGGGGTCCCGCTGGGGGTGCTGCTTGCTCACCTGGCACAGGAGAATCATGGGATCTCGGAACTCAGCCTGGCAGATGGCGCAGACAGCGCCAGCCTCCGTACACTGCTGCCCCGTGGCTCGGACCCCGTAATTCTGTTTGAGGGAGGGGAAGGGGAAGACAAACACAGCCGTGAGCCCTTCAGTGAAGCAGTGTCTGCAAGGTAAGGAAGGGCTGCCGTGGGCTGCACCATCTGGTTCCCTGGGCCTGGGACTCACTCACCTGGGAGGTGCAAAGGAGTTTCAGTGCTTTCCTGAGTCCACCCACGCGACCGCAGATGTCAAACGACTGAAAGGAGAGAAGAGTGAAGGCTGAGAACGATCTCCCGGCAGTCCTCACCTTCCGCTTTCATTTCAGGAAAACTTCTTCCCATTTCTATCAGTTTTGCCTGACTTCTGTCCTGACATCCAGTATCAACAGTCTCCTCCGTTACTCTGATCAAATAGCGTAAGTATCGTAAGTATCGTCTTTCCCCTTGCCAAGCCCAGGGCAGGCATTACTAATCAACCACATCACTTTCCTGGCACTCTAGCAAGCCACTGCTAGCTGATCATAGTGAGCAAGATAAGGTCCCTGAGGCTGGTTCTGCACGGGTTGCTTGGCTGGTCGTGTTGGAAGGAAGCAAAGTGGACACATTCATTTTCCCTGGGCCCTTTAAAGCCCGAAACAGAGAAGGAAGAGAGGAGAGAGGCAAGGGAGAGAATGGGAGTTTACTTTTTGGGGCCAATAAGATGGTTCAATAAGGTACTTGCCATCAAGCCTGACCTCCTGAGTCCAATCCCTAGAACCTTGTGGGGGAAGGAGAGACCTGACTCTCACAAGTTGTCCTCTGACCTCTACATGTGCAGCATGGCACACACGTCCCACCCCCAACACTAAATATATTCTTGAAGTGTTAGTGTATGTTATGATGCTGTGATGTGAGTGAATCTCAAAAACGTCGTAAGTCACACGAGCCACACCCAAAAGGTGGTTGTACACCCCACTGAGAGAAAACACCCAGCATCGGCACATTTGCATTGGTGTCTGCCGGAGGCTGGGGGCAGGAGGGATGGAGAATGGCTGCTATCCAGAAGAGCTGGGTACTGGGTTTGTTTGTGAAGTCAGGACATGCTTTGGAATCATACAGAAGAGATGGTCACAACACAGTGTGACAGCAAATGCCACTGACTGTACATGGCCTAAGGTTGGCAGCATGATCAGCCCTGATCATTCAGGCCTGTAATCCTTCCCAGCTTCTCTGGAGGCTGAGGCAGGAGGTTTGGTGTTCAAAGATGGCCTGGAAACATAGTGAGACCCTGTGCCAGAGTTTTAAAGAGGGATACAGTGGAATGCCTGCCTGCTATGAGCGGAGCCCTGGGATCTGTCCCCAGCACCAGAGAAAGAAGGAAGAAAAGGGTGGACTGACGGATGGCTAATTCTATGTTATATGACATACATTTTGATATAAGGCAGGCAGACATTAGTGGCTGGTCCTAGCTGCTCAACAGCCCCCAGCCTGGCCCAGCAAGCAGCTTACCTTGCAGAGGCTGTAGAGAATGATCAGGACCCCGCCCAGGAAGTAGCTGTTGGAGGAGTCGTCCCCCATGATGTACTTGTACCACAGCTGGATGGGAACAAGCGACCTGAACAGCTGGCTCAGCTCCTCGATGACCAGATAAAACTTTCCCTGTGGCCACACAAAAAGCATCAATTAGTGTTAGCAGCAAAGACCCAGAGGACAGAGCTGGGCCCAGGCAGGGCCATAATGACAGTCCAGGTCATAGGCAGGCCATTAATCAGCTTTGGAAAGCACTCAAGCTGGCTCTAATGGGGACCGATGGATCTGGCCAGGGAGACGTGGCTCCTGCCTGAAGCCCTTGTCCACCACTCACTGCCCACTGTCCCTAGGATCGAAGTGTCAGATCAGGTATCAGGGATGTCAAAACAGAAAGCACTTGGGATGGGGTGTGGGTGTGGTCAACTGTCTGCCTCAGTGCAGTATGGAGGGCAGAGGGTAGCTCACTGCCCTCCCCAAACTACCCAAGAGGGCCGACTCTAGCACCACAGGATAGAAACAAGGAAGGCCAGGCTGGGAGCCACGGCAGGCACCCACCTGTACAGTTCTACCTCTGAGGGCTCCAAAGGGACCAGAGGGCACCTCGGGAAATATCTCAGCACGGGGCCTCACTCCTGGCTGACTCTCAGAATGAGGTTCTGGGCTCTAAGCTCAGGGGTTGCTCTGAGACATAAGGATCCTGAGCAGGAAGAGGACCTGCTTCCGTGCTGGGGATGCCACAGGTGCCGGCTCCTGCTACCCTTTGGCCTTGAACAAGCCTCAGGAGGGAGGGCGTAGGTTAGGAGAGAGGGACAAGTCAGCTGCTGCCTCACGGGATCCAAGGAATGTAAACACTACCTTGATATGGGGGAGGGCCCTTGACACCCCTCCAAGGACGTTCCCTGACAGAAACGGAAATGGGCCCACTTGTCGAAAATGTTCTCGGCAGCTGTAGTCACAAGACCCACTGACTGAAAACTGCCCAAAGGCACCGCCCGTAGCTGACCACTCAACACGGACTCAGGCAATATTTATGAAATAGGAGACTACTCCGAGACTGTGACTAACAGGTGACTGATACGGCTATCAACACGGATGGATTTCACAGGCATTATGTTGCTTCAAAGATGGTCACAAAAGCCTCCACACTGGGCTGGGGAAATGGCTTAGTGGGTAAAGTGTTTGCCAGACAAACGTAAGCACCAGAGTTCAGATCCCTACCACCCACAAAAAAGCCAGGCGGGCGTGGTACAATCCCAGTGTCTGGGAAGCAGGGACGAGGGACAAGGGTCCCAGGGAAAGCTGGCCAGCTGGGGTAGCTGATCAGTGAGCTCCCGGTTCAGTGAGAATCCTGCCTCAGTGTATAAAGTTATAGAGAAAGACACTCAACATCAATCTGGGACTTTTCATGCACACATACACACATGCCATGGAATCATACATGCATATCTCTCTCTCTCTCTCTCTCTCTCTCTCTCTCTCTCTCTCTCTCTCTCTCTCACACACACACACACACACACACACACACAAACATACACATACATGTTTTCTCTCTTTTTCACACACACATACACGTACCCCTCTCTCATACACACACGTGTGCGTGCATACCTCTTTCTCTCTCTCTCTCTCTCACACACACACACACACATATACACTCTCTCTCATACAATGTACTCTCTCATACACACGCATGCACCTCTCTCTCACACACACTCTCTCTAGTCTCTCTCTCACACACACATACATCTCTCTCACACACACATGCACACCTCACACACACATTCTCCCTTCCTCCCTCCCCCCCGTCTCTTTCCCTTTCTCTCTCCCCTCTCTCCATGTACCAACCCTTGTGTACACACAGTCTTAGAGCAGGTAGCACTAAGCCAGAGAGAGAAGATGGGAGAACTGTGGCTGTCCAGGGTGAGGGTGTGACTCTAGGAACACCAGGGGATTATGGGAAATGGCTTCGCTGACTGTAATAGTGCTTATGTGGGTTGTGGTCACATATCCCAGCTTGCAGAAATTATGCTGCAAAGCTGTGTACTTAATTACATGTAAATCACACTCGAATAAGACTGGGTCACACAAACATACATGCATGCACACACACATACACACACACACACACACGAGCCAACAGCCATTCCTCAGGTGTCCACAGCTTTAAACATGTCAGTGAGCTCTGTGCCTGTTAACTCCTCTAACAAAGTAACCAGGGCTTTGCACACAATGTGCCAAGAAAAACTGTCACCAAGATGGTCTTTGTAACAGCAAAGAGATGACAAAGGAAATACACAAGAGGCGGGGCCTGCCTGTTGGAGATCTATGATGGAGCGCCACACAACCGTGAAAGATTATCCCGTGAAACACCAACTCTGTGGTTAACCACACACCCTATTACCCAAGCAACCAGGGTCAGCACCCTGCATAAGTCACCCTAACACCGTAAATCTTGGGATATGACACACAGGGAAGGACGGTGTCACTTCTGTTGTTCTCAATGGAATCACGGGAAAAAGAGAGAGATTCAAATCATTGAGTCTGCAGAATAACCACTCAGCACTCAAGACAAAGATGAAGGATTCGGTGACGGGAGACAGCCGGGAGAAAGGATAAGCCAGTGCAGTACGAAGGCGTGAATTCTTTACAGAAACTATCGCCTGTTGTTTCTCTAGTGTAGAGTGCTCGTGTGAGCCACAGCGTGTGTGCGGAGGTCAGAGGACAACTTGCAGGAGTCCGTTCTCTCCTTCTGCCATGCAGGCTCCAGGGTCAAGCTAAGACCATCAGTCTCAGCAGTGAGCACCTTTAGGAGCCAAGCCATTTCACCAGCCAAAGGCACAGAGGGAGCCTGTCTACTCTTTCCATGCATCGTGAGGAGGAGACGCTTGGCATCCAAAGGCGATTCCTTGAAGCAGATCCGTGTGAGGATCAAGAACGGTCATCCAGCCATCCGCTCCCATTGGGACTGTTTGGCTGAGTCCCTGTGTGTGTATGTATGGGGGGGGAGGGTCTCATGTGTGTGTGTCCCCTATATGTGTGTGTGTAGGTGCCCTGAATGAGTGTATATGTGTATGAGGGGGTCCCTTGTATGGGTGGGGGGCCTCCTGTATGTGTGTCTACTGAATGTGTGTATGTGTGTGTGAGTCCCCTGTATGCGTGTGTGTCCTTTGTATGTGTGTGTGGGTGTCTCCTGAGTGTGTGTGTCCCCTGTATGTGTGTGTGTCCTTTGCATGTGTGCGTGTGTTCCCTGTATGTGTGTGTGTCCCCTGTGTATGTAGGGGGTCCCCTGTTTTCTGAAGGGTCTTCTTTTCCCTTCGATGCTCCATTCATACGGGCTGTCACCCCAGAAGTATCACCCAGAGGCAAATCTAGTTCCTTTAGGAACTTGTGGAAGTCAGGGGTTATCTGCCTTTCAGTAATGTGGTGATGGTACACACCCACAGACAGCAAGGAGGCACCACCCTCTCTCCACGAGACAGCAGGCCCCACGCTCAGCAGAACCCACTGCTTCTCTGGTTTTTAAGCTCAACTCTTCCATGCTTTGCTCGCATCTGACGTGCAGGATATATGATAAGCAACCCCCAAAGGGCTTGCGACCCTCAGGTTGAGAACTGCTGGCCCTACACCAAAACCCTGACAAAAATGCCTGGCGGTGAGGACTACTTAGCCAGCAGAAGGCTCCATGAGTGGACAATGGCTTTGTGTTTCTAGGTCTATTGTGGGGAATACCATGGCAACTATGTAGTCAAGCAGTTTCTTCATGGTGGACAGGAAACAGAAAAAAGGGACCAGAATAAGATGAATCTTCCAGGGACAGGACCCAGTGACACTTCCCCCAGCAAGGCTACACCTCCCACCAACAGCACCCAATTACACATCCATGAAGAAACTGATCCGTCCATCCATCCATCCATCCATCCATCCATCCATCCATCCATCCATCGTGTAGAACCCTCAGGAACCATCCCTGGAGACAGAGTTCTTACAGACAAACCTGTAGGTGTGCCTCTATCTGCATTCCGTTTGTATGCGCATGTGCAGTGTATGTGCGTGTGTTGGTGGGTACATATGCAGGTATGTATGCGGGTGCACACGTGTGCATTCATGCATGTGTGGAGGCCAGAGTTGGGTGGGTGTCTTCTTTAATCAGTCTCCACTTTGTTTTCTGAGGTGGAGTCTCTCACTGAATCTGGGGTCCCCTGCTGTGCTGGCCCACCATCTTCTTGTCTCCATTATGATGGAATTCTGGGTGCACCGACTGCCCTGACCAATTGTTTCATTTGAATGTGGATGCTTGAGACTGCACGCAAACCTCATGCAGGGCAGGCAGCTTAGCAACCGAGCCACCTCCAAAGTGCCTGCTCACGCTTCTTAAGCCAGTCGGGGTGACAATCAGCTCCCGAGTGCTCCATGTCTAGCTGTGGTCTCCCAGCAGCTAACAGTAACCTGCTTTTTCCACTTGTGCCTGAGTTCAGCTTCCCTCAGAGAACTTTCCTCTCTCCTGTACCTCAGCAGGCCTCAGTCCTCATTTCCCCCTTTAGGAAAATGTGTGTGGTGTATGTATTTCACATATGGTCATGTGGCGCTGACATAATGTGTCTTCTGCAGTCTCACCCCACTTCATTACTGAGGCAGGGTCTCCTGCTGAACCCAGAGCTAGTCCAGTGTGCCATGGTAACTATCACCTGACTCCACCCAAGGGCTCAGATTAAAGGGCTCCAAGCCCACATGGCTTCCCTGTGGCTGCTGGGGATCTAAACTCTGGTCCCTATTCTTGTGTGCCAAGTGTTTTTCCACTGAGCCATCTCTCCAGATCCCTTAAGCATTTATTTTTTCCTTTCTCTGCATCAACCCACCCTTCCTCTCCACCCAACCAACCAACCATACATACATATATCCACCCATCCATCCACTCACCAATCCATCCATCCATCCATCCATCCATCCACTCACCAATCCATCCATCCATCCATCCATCCATCCATCCATCCATCCATCCACTCACCCATCCATCCACTCACCAATCCATCCGTCCATCCATCCATCCATCCGTCTGTCCGTCCGTCCATCCATCCATCCATCCATCCATCCACCCATGTTTCTTTTCTTTATATCCATCTTCCCTCCTC